CCTAATATTCGCACAAAAATTCCACCTGATAAGTTATAAAGTTTAAAAAAATTACAACTCAACAAAACTTAACTCACCAAGATCACCATGTATGAAACGTGACTTCCATGGCCCCCATCAACTTCTTTAAAACCCAATAAAGTGTCCACAATGATTCTTTTAAAAATATCATTTTTCTAATTCAAACGTTTACAATATAAAAAAATAGGTTTCAATTGGAAACTGAATAATTTGTTTGGTATGAACGTTTACCATATATGAAACACGACCACCGAGGTGAGTATCCGGTCGTAAACTTCAGTGTTCCGTAAAATTAGTCAAGGTACACGCAAGTTGGCCCGGACATTCACGGTTATAAATAAATAAATAAAACATCACCAAACAAGTTATGCTTCAGAGTTTTAGTTTCAAATTGAAACCTATTTTTTGCACAGTAAACATTTGAATTAGAAAAATGATATTTCTAAAATAATCATTAGTGACGCTTTATTGGGTTTTAAAAAAGTTGATGGGACCGTAGAAGTTACGTTTCATATATGGTGATTTTGGTGAGTTAAGTTTTGTTGAGTTGTAATTTTTTTAACATTTATAACTTATCATGTGGAATTTTTGTGAGAACATTAGAAATGAAGGGAACAAAATATAGCGGATGTTGAATGTAGTACAACATTTCAAAGATGAGTGATAATTGGAAAGTATTTTGAAGTTCGATGAATGAACTGTGATCAAGTGTAAGTTGAATGAGTAATGAAATAATGGTTTCGCTGAGCTGTCATTTTTTTAACTGCTTAACTTGCTACATCAGATTTTCGTTAGCCATGTCAGCGAATAATGGAACAAAATTTGGCGAGTGTTGGATGTGGTGCAACAACCGAAAGTTCGATGACCTCTGAGACACAATTTGAAGTTCAGTGAGTAAGCTGTGACCATGTTAAAATTCAGTGATTGTTCAAACATTTTACTCTTTTTTTATATGTTAATAGTAGATTATTTCATTTTTATTTTCAATCATACTACAAGTACACTAACTTTGACATCAAGTTTAACATTGTACCACGTGACGACATCACATTGGACAGTTTTTAAAAACAACACACTTTCCCGCCCAACGCAATTTGAATTTACACATGGTGTCAAACTTGATATCAAGAAAACAATGTACAATTGGCTTTATTCTTTTATTTTTGGTTTCAAATTTTCAATATGCAAATGGTGCGATTAGTTTCACCTTATTTTTACCCTTTCCATATTATTTTTAAACCACAAAATGCTTAAACCCTTGAAACTTGAAAGAACGCTAAATCCACTGGACTCTCCATAAATTGCATTATTCTCATTGAAATCAAGAGAATCGATATCAGAATGCAATTGAATAGATGTACACTCCAATCCCTAATTCGAACGTGCATCCGCGGCAGCCGATGCTACTATACGAAGAGCAAGAAAAAGAATCAGGCATCACTTTACGCGAAAATCAGCCCTTTGGGAAGCCCTATCGTGAATGTAACACCAGAGCTCGAAAATTGGGTCCAGATGGGCAATAAAGTTCGATTCGCCGAGCTCCAGCGGATTATCCTCGACCTTCGCAAGCGCAAACGCTACTCTCAAGCCCTTCAGGTACATATATACATAATAGATTTATGTTTTGTGTGTATGATGACCATTTGTTTGTATTTCTGTATAGATTTATGCTTGTGGTTTGTGGTGGTGATGCTTTATACACGTGAACGTTTTAAAGATTAGGGGTAATAAACGTTCATTGTTGTACTTTGTGCTAATTTAATTGTATCTTGCTCCAGCAATGGGATCTTTTTTTTTTATTCGCTATGATTGCGCGAAAGCTAAGCGCGGGTATATTCATGTTCAACTAGCTTGTAAATGAGCTCGTGTTTGCTTGCTTTGTATGCCAGCTCGTATTTGTGTGATATGAGCACTTGCGAATACAAAAAAAAAAAAAAAAACACGTGTTTATGACCATTTCGTGTTACTTGTGAANATGGGCAATAAAGTTCGATTCGCCGAGCTCCAGCGGATTATCCTCGACCTTCGCAAGCGCAAACGCTACTCTCAAGCCCTTCAGGTACATATATACATAATAGATTTATGTTTTGTGTGTATGATGACCATTTGTATGTATTTCTGTATAGATTTATGCTTGTGGTTTGTGGTGGTGATGCTTTATACACGTGAAAGTTTTGAAGATAAGGGGTACTAAACGCTCATTGTTGTACTTTGTGCTACTTTAATTGTACCTTGCTCCAGCAATGGGATCATTTTTTTTTTCGCAATGATTGCGCGAAAGCTAAGCGCGGGTATATTCATGTTTAACTAGCTTGTAAATGAGCTCGTGTTTGCTTGCTTTGTATGCCAGCTCGTATTTGTGTGATATGAGCACTTGCAAATACAAAAAAAAAAAAACACGTGTGTTTGGATGTTGGCACTGGAATGTATATCTTTGGTGCACGTGTAATGCATTTTCATACTGTGTTTGTGTTTTTCACGGTACGCTGTTGTGCTTAAGCAAACTCTAGGAACACTCATTCAATTAAAAATCATTCTTGTTCATAGGAATTACTCAAGATTTTGTGAAACATAATTTTCCACAGTTGATGGGAGGGAAGTTGGCACTGAGAAATGAAGCCTGTCATTGATGATTATGACAATCACACCTTTTTTATGATTTCATTTCTGTGGTATTGAACAGGTCTCTGATTGGATGAAGAGTAAAGATGTCTATGCATTTACACCTGTTCAGCATGCTGTGCAATTGGATCTGATTGGTAAGGTTCATGGATTTCTCTCGGCAGAAACCTACTTCAATAATCTTGGTGAGAAGGATAAGACTGAGAAGACATATGGTGCTCTTCTGCATTGTTATGTTCGACAACGCCAAACTGAGAAAGCATCCGCACATCTGCAAAAAATGAAGGAGAAGAATCTTGCTTTATCTTCTGTTGCTTTCAGTGACATGATGTGCCTTTACTCAAGTATTGGTGAGAATGAAAAGGTCCCTGGTATTCTGAAACAGATGAAGGAGAGTGGGATTTCCCCTAATAATTTGAGTTACCGAATCTGCATCAATTCATATGGAGTGAGATCGGATATTGTGGGTGTGGAGAAGATGTTGAAGGAAATGGAAAGCCTAGCTGACATCATAGTTGATTGGAACACCTATGCAGTTGTGGCACATATCTATATTAAGGCTGGCCTAACAGATAAGGCAAATGTAGTCCTCAAGAAAGCAGAGGAAAGGCTAGATAATAAAGATGGTCTTGGCTATAACCATCTTATCTCGCTCCATGCTACACTGGGAAACAGGGATGAGGTTCTAAGGTTATGGGATCTTGAGAAGAATTTTTGTAAGAGGTGTCTTAACAGGGATTACATAAACATGATAGAGTCTTTGATGAGGCTTGACGAGGTTCAAGAAGCAGAGAAATTGCTAAAGGAATGGGAGTCTTCTGGCAACTGCTATGATTTTCGAGTCCCCAATGCAGCCATTGTTGGATATACAGAAAAAGGGTTATGTGAAAAAGCTGAAGCCATGCTTGAATATTTGATGGAAAAGGGGAAGGTTTCAACCCCAAACAGTTGGGGAAAAGTGGCAGCCGCGTACCTGGAGAAGGGTGAGATCAAGAATGCTTTGAGATCCATGAAAGTTGCTCTTTCTTTGCATGATGGGAGCAAAGAGCGGAATCTTGATCCCAAGGTTATTACAAGAATACTGAGTTTGGTGGGCAAGAAAGGCTGCTATGAGGACACTGAAAAATTTATAAATTTGTTGAGATCTGTGATGCCGTTAAATAGGCAGATGTATCATGCCATACTCAAATCCTATATTAGTGCTGGTAAGGAAGTGGATGGACTTTTAAACTCCATGAGAGCTGATAATTTAGCCGAAGATGAAGAAACGGAAAATATCTTATCCATGAAGGGAAAGGAAATTTAAAACTTCCACCTGTATCTGGAGATGGAATTCAGTTTACTGACAGCTAGGCTGATAAAGCCCTTCGAATTACATGATTTCATCTGGGATGACCTAATATTGCGCTCTGCATGTTTACATGGTTCCATCAAGCGTTCCAGTGTCTATCGGGCAAAATTGAACTGAACACACTGAAATATCAACTTGGTCGAAGTGAATACTTACCATCAGCACAGCCTGAAACGTTAAATTATAAGTGCCAAGGATAACTGGGGGTTTGACCTTGATGTGTAATTGTAGAATGTGGGAATTGACTGTAACTTGTAACAATGATATGACTCGGATTTAAACAAAACTGGAGCCTGAAAAAAAATTACTTAAATATTTAATTGTTTTTTTGTATTATTATTTGTTTTGTTTATTAAAAAATATAATGAACAAACGAGTTTTTTAACTTTATGTTAAAGAAAATTTTGAAGAGAAACCATAATCTGGAATAATTTAATTGATTTGAGAATAAGAATACGATAAAAAAATTTGAGACATAAATGTGATAATGTGTAAATGTCAGAAATCTTCATGCAATTAAAATATAGTTTAGTTATTAAAAAATGTAGTGTGAATATAATTAGTTTTGAAGAATGAGAAATTATATTACCACTACAAAATTTATTAGTTACACCACAATTTTAAGTATATTTTGTATTTACTTAAATAATCCTAAGTAAAATTACGTAAATGGGGTTTTACTATATTTATTACATAAAATAATTTATTGTTCCACCACAATTATAAACCTAATTTTTATTTTTTCCCCCTCAACAATCGTGCAATCGACATCAATTGTTGACGAAGTGAGCCCCATTCTCACTTGAGAAGTCAATGTTGCAAAGTTTCGAAGTCAGGATTTTCTCTATTTGGGAACAACAAATCTGACATAAAAACAAATTTTCTTCGTGATGATTATCAATCTCTTTGTCAAAAAAACATCTGATAAGGTCTCATCTTGAAGCAATGTAGTTTGCATTGTTTGTAGCATTCAACACCCAGCAAAGATAATCCAAGTAATCAAGTCAGGGATGATTGACGATAAATACTCAAAACACAATGCAATCACTTTCTCTACTTTTATTGGAGCAATATCAGTTGAAAAGAGATCCCTTGTTTCCAAACGTAAGGCATTTCGAAGTCTCATTTGCAGCCTAAAATTTAGAAAAAATCATGAAATTGTAGATGAGAAAAATGAGTAATATTGGTACGACGAGTACACCACAATAATATTTTTTTTTTCATTTTTAGTTTTTATTGAATTGGGAATATAATTGTAAATTTGTTGTGGTGTATTTATTGAAAATATATTTTAATCGTGGTGTAGTAAATAATTTTTGTGGTGATAATATAATTACCCTTGAAGAATTGTGATTGTAATTTCACTTTTACAAGTAGAACCCCGTGGTAACCAATTTTTCCATGTTTTAAAACTTATTTACCAAGTAAAATATTGTGTTTTAGCCAATTTTTTGGGCTTATCACTGTTCCAAGCTCATGGTAACTTGAGGATCCGACAGGCCCACTATGGCCTTCTCTATTTTGCCCATGTTTGTCGTAGATTAAAATTAGATTTTTAGTAACTTTTGATAAAAACTTATGAAATGTGTGGTTGAAAAATTGTGAATCTTAAGAAATGCTTAGTCAAAATAAATTTTGATTTTGACTTGAAAGTTTGATCAACTTTTAATTTACACCAAACGAGGGATATTATACGTAGGGATGTCCTCTTCATACGTGGGTCAATACGAAGTCCAAGAAATGTCATATTTAGCCCTATTTGAGCACCATTTTTTTAGCATAGATTTTGCAAAAATAATTTTTCTAGAAAATATGTCCTTTCATGTTCATGTTTTATAATTTAGCAATCAGCAGAATCATACTGAGCTAGAAAAAAGAGAGCAAATTGCTATATTTTTCACGCCAACTTCATGTTCCTCATAAGTTTTCGATTTAGACTAAAGTGAAGTATTTCCAGTTACTTGCACGTTTGCACTTCTCTTCAACCACATCCTTGTTTTATGAATTTGTCCAACATAAAACCATGCAGTTTGTTGCAGACATTTCACTATATAAAGCCTTTTATTCATGGTGCAAACATCACTTGACTCAGTTATTATATCAAGAAATGGCTGCACTAAAATGTTCCCATTTTGCACTCCTTGCATTGCTAAGCTTGGTTGTGTGTTCTGCACACAGAACTCTTCATAATGAGGCTGGAACCAACCATGTCCATGTAGTTCGCAGCTTGGAGGACGTTACTGATACTCACCATGCATTGAACGGACATGTTTTAAGTAATGGAGGTGGAGGGGGAGGCGGGGGCGGTGTTGTCAGCTTCCCAACCCCGACCTCTGGTTGTGCCCCTGTAGTTGGATCTGATGGTGGTTATGGAAGTGGGAGTGGCCATGGCAATGATGGGGGCAGTAGCAGTGGAGGGGGAGGCGGAGGTGGTGGCTCGGGTGGAGGGGTACCAAGTTTTGGTGTCCCAAATTTTGGTAACCCAGGTTATGGTACCCCGGTTGGGGGAAATAGTGGAGGATATGGATTTGGTGGTGGATATGGTTCCGGGGGTGATAGTGGAAATAATCCACCGGGATATGGAGGAGAACCATGGGGAATAGTCCCTCCGGGTAATGAGCCTTACCACTGCCAACCAGTCAACTGTGGCAATCCCTATGGTTGTGCTGGATTGACCATGTACTTCAGTCACCATACGCACATGAATGAACCTGCATCCAATATGCCAGAACCAGAGAGTACCGGCCATGCCATGGCACCTACAGAATCAGAACTGAACTGATTTCATGTAAATGTTACCTAAAAATGGTGTCATTCTGTAACGAAGCAGTGAATTCTTACTGTTTTAGTTAATAAATCGTCAGTTTCTGTTTGTTTTCTACAGGATTCGTAAAGTGGAAAAATAGCTTAATTATTTCAAGAACATCAGGTTAAAAAATGTAAACAGATGAATGCTTGCAAATATTTGATGATTTCAAACTAGCTTGCCAATGATATTGCTTAAGTGAAGCTTTATAAATTAGCTATAATAATCTCCCGGGCTGAAATAATTTATGTACAATTCAACCTGATATGTCTCGAAATCATGACAATAAAAACAGTTCGAACGAGGACAGTTCATAAATGACTAGAACGTAATGGGAAATTGGGGTATCTCCCAATGGATGCTAAACCATCTTTAACCATGTTAAATGGAAAACCTGGTCCATCAAGGAAAAAAATGAGTTACAGAAATGATAAGACTGAAAGAAACTACTTATGATGGAAATATTATATTCGACATTATATTCAAGTCCAATTAAATTATTAGAAGGTAAATTAGGAAAATGGATGAATACCGGTGTTTACATGTTTCCTTTATGGTTCTATGTAGCCAAAATTGTGGCACCACAGGCAGCAGGAGCATGCTTCCCCTCCTTGAAAACGAGGTTCCCTCGTACAAATGTTGCCAAGACCTTTCCGCTGAGTTTTGATCCCATGTACGCAGAGATTTTCTGCATTGATTATTAGATAATCAGATAACGTGGGTTCATTCCTTCATAAGAGGGGAAGGATTCTTTCAGCTGAATAGGAGAGTTGCAATGCAGTTACTCTCCTATGGTTATTACAAATTGTCTCTCACTTTGACTAGGTTGTTTTCCGAAAAAATTCCTTGTACAATATAACTAGCAATATTACAGTCTGAAGTAACGGCATTACATCTCAAAAACTACTTTAATTTGAAACCAAGCATTTGAAATAAGAATAATTTCTAGTTGAACATAGAGTTGAAGGTTAACAAGAATGTACCGGATGCTTTAAGTATACAGGGTGATTGTCATCGAGTTCAAATTCTACTTCTGGTTCCCAGACAACAATGTCTGCATGATATCCAACTGCAATGGCCCCCTGCACAAGTATCATGTTAACTTGGGATACAAGCACACCTCAAACACTTAAATTATCCACCAAACTAGTAACAGTTATTGTATGTAGTCACAATACATAGTGATAGAGATAGATCAGATTAATCTGCCAAATGTGATGACACAGGACCTGAGCATGTCAGAAACCATATGATAATATGGTCAAGTTGTTTTAAATATCCAAAGTCGTAGTGAAACAGGATTATTAAGAATCTGACCTTTAAATCCTGACCAGCAAGTTTGGCAGGCTTCTCACTCCACCACGAAGATAATTGATTCAAATTTATTCCATATTTAAGCCCATGTGACCATGTTACAGGAAGCACAAACTGCATTATACACTCAAAATAATGACAACTAGCATTCAGCAAATGAAAAAGGATGATTAAAATTTAACTTTATCATATGTAAAGTCGTAAAGATCATGAGTAATAATACACATCCTACTTGCAGATTATATCTTATAAAAATAGTATCTCTTGGTTTCACATTAATATTAGCTAAGTAATTTGATATATGCTTTAAATACAGCTTCCAGTGAAGCTTGTGACGTTTCTGAAACCAGGCAACCATGAAATTAGATTGTAAAAATGCAAACCTGCAAAGAAGATATGCCACCCCATGCCCTGAGGAAGTCACCATCATTGAAAAGTTTGAGTTCTGGAACTGTGGGGGAGTGATCAGAGCTTAACATGTCAATGTCTCCATCCTGAATGTGTGTAATCAAGTAAAGTAAATCATTGCAGAAAGACAAAAACAATAAATCCGTGAAGAACTCTCAAACTTGATATACCATTAAAGCTTTCCACAGTTTTTCTTTATTTTCTGCATCGCGAATAGGTGGAGCACACTTAAAACGGGTATCTCCATCAGGAATTTCTTCAGCTGAAAAGGCTAAATAGTGGGGGCATGTTTCTACTGTCACACTATCACCGCTACCTTTTGCTTCCTAGAAACATAAATTTAAAAGACATTGAATGAGAAGTAGGGTTCTTTTTGAGATTCTAACAATCTTATACATGAAAAATACTCCCACCGATGACTTATTAAAGCTTAATTAGATTACTGCATTGGCCACTTGGACAAATTTTAGACTACTCACTGAAGAATGGCATTACAAAAATGGAAGATGGTTATAAACAAATACAGAAAATTCAGAAACAATAGAAAGGATTCATATTAAGTGATGGCACAAATATGACTCAAGAACAAGTTAACTGCATTCATTATGGGGTTAATAGAAGAGGAAGTGAAGATGAGGGTTTAAAGTTTGTCTTCTAAATTAGGGTGTGGAGATGAGGGTTTAAAGTGTATTCTAAATTCAGTTTTAAAAGTTTTTTTGACTTTAGCTGCGAGGCTTAATCGAATTTTTTACCTAGTAAAAAGAATCTTGCTATAAAATGTATGTGATTGAGAGAATAATAGGAAGGTCTTGGGAATATTGTAATTCAATTTTGGGAAAATGACAATTACAAGTACGAAAAGATAAAACAAGTCTTGATTGTTACAGGCATAAAGGACGCATCCAATCGAGCTATGGGATACAAAAACAGGAGCATCTAAGGGGGACTCTGATTTGACAGAAAAATCAATCAATTCATGAAATTTCAGGCTACGGGACTAAATAGATGCACGCAAGAAATAAATAAACTAAAGAATGCAACTCCTCCAAGTAAGAAAGCACAAACACAACCTTTATGAGTTCTAAAGAGGATCTGGCATCAGCTAGATGCACAATGTGAAGATGGGCCCCTTCAGCAGGACCTCCAGTCCTGGTGTCTTTCGTTACAGTTAAGAGCTCTCTTACAGCTGCTTGTTCCCTGATTAAACAAAACTGGTGTTAACGTATGATGTCTTTAAAAATTAAAAGGACTAGAAAGCAATTGAACTAATCATCGCAAAGGATATAGTTGCATTGGATCTTTGAGTAGATCAAAGATTAACCAAAAAAAGGATTCGTGTAGCCAACCCCAAATTTATTGGGTATAAGGCTTAGTGTATAGACGTATCAATTCCAGAAGTTTCCCCCCAGGTCATGGAAAGAACAATCGAGTCATATCTTACCATGAAGAAGGCCTAGTCTTGAGATATGTGGAATAGGATCTAGGACTATCAGCACCATTTATCATTTCCAAGTCACCTCCTAACTCTTGTTGAACCTCAGCATGTACAAGCAATGGTCTTTTGTATTTTGCCAGCACATGTAATCCTTCCTACATAAAGTTATGAGTATCAGCAATTGTGTTATCACCACACTACAGGATCAAGAAGTTTTTGAATGCGTCAGTGCAGTATGTGTATATTGTCGAGATGATATTTACATTAACACAGACTTAATCGATTACAAATCCAGTAACTGAAAAAGGAACAATATAATCAACTATGTAATATATAACATATAATAATCTTAATACCTTTATATGGCTGGAGTTTGTCATGGGAAAGTCATTGATTCCTGAAGGACACATAAAAGACTAAAGAAAGAACACAAATTGGGAGATCATTAACAGTGCCGAAAGAATTGATAGAACATTCAAGAAAATCGGAAGAGAAACCAAACACGGAAATTTGCCTACTAAAATGACATTATAGCTTATTATCTATTAACATAAAGTAAATTTCAATAAAATCAGAGGAGAAACCGGATACAGAAAACATAAAATGAAATTCTAGCTTATTATTTTTCAGAGAAACATAGAGTGAAACTATATAAATAAACACACTTTAAAGACCACAGAAATATTAGTTCAACAAACTAAACTGTGTAACAGCAAATTGTCACGGGGCTAGAGTTCTCACACCGGAACAACTAGACACCGTGCGGCCTTAACGCACCAATTTCCGTCCCTACGAAAAAACGTTAAGTCAGCCTTTCGACG